CCTTGGTCTAGGCTGCTGCCTTCACAAGAGCCATCAACTGTAAAGGCAGCAGTACAGCAGCATGATAAGGAGGCTTGAGGGCTTTGTTCCCATGTGTCCCCCCAAGGCAGCACAGCAGGGATCCCTCAGAGAGGGGCAGGATGACCTTGAGAAAGCTTTACTTCCAGCCTTTATGGCTTTGAACCTTGTGTCATAATAACTGGGTGAAATAAACAAATACAATCAGGAGTACCATTGACCATAAAATGCATCGGAACATTCAAGTTTAAGTTTAATTTTGGATGCAAGTAGATTTAACCATCTGGGGTAGAGGGGAAGGCAGGCATGACGGAAAAGCAGAACAAAAACTAAGCATACGGAAGGAGAAAAGAAGATAGGACAGTTCAACACCCACCGGTGCCCATAAGCTATGATGGACCCTGAAGATCTAGTTCTTTGCTAACACTGGATCACAGCAGCATATTTTATTTTGCACACCCTTGAAAGAAACTAAATAGCCCTTGGGTGATGGTGCAGAAAGCACCTGAAGAGCCGAACAAGCTTTCCCAGGACCCCGCATCGCTCTCCAGACCATAATGACCTAGAAACACGGGGAAGTGAGTGCACAGGCTTCCCAGACACGGAAGCGGGCAGTTCTGTGGAGTCACCCGTGGGTGGCAGCTGACCCAAAAGATGAACTGCATGGAAACCTGGTGGATTAAAAGGCAGCAGAACAACAACAAAGAATGGTGTGGGATGTGTATATAAATATGTAAAATAAGGGTGCTTGAACTTCACAAAAATGCCTTGGGTCCACAGATCATTTTTTTCTCCACTGACATGGTTACTGGTCAATAGAAATAAATGAGCTTCTGGTGTTTTACTTCACCTTCTTCTTTCCCTCTCCACAGCTCTGCAAAAAGTGTTTTTGACTGGGTGATAGCAATTCCATCTCCTAAGGTGCTGAGAATAATAGGACCCTAGCAATCATGAGGACCATTGCTCTAGACAAACCTCCCTCTATTTTTCATTTGCCAAGAAGGGGTAAGACCACCTGGAGTAGGAAAGAAAGAACAATTCTCAGGAAAAAGATAATGTAACTCCATTTTATTGGCTCAAGCCAATGACCGTTACATAAATAAAATGAAAATCGTTGTTCTCAAACAGAGTAATGGGATTTTGGATGAAGAGGTGACTTATAGATAAGCTAGACCAAAGCTCTGGTTTTATAGATAAGGAAATTAAGACCAGAGAAACTTTCCCAAGCACACAGGATGGGTTAAAGGCAAAGCTAGGACCAGAATTCGAGTGAGCTTTTCTCAGGGCATTGAGAAAATATTCAGATAAACAGACTGTGAGGGGCTATAATGCGTGAACTTATAACAGAGTTGGAGGAAATAGAGACTTTTCATCTAGAAAGGCGATGATTCGGGGACATAACTATTTTCAAATACATGACAGACTGGCACGTAGAAAGGGGGCTTGAACTTGTTCTGTTGGCCCAAGGAAACAAGAACGATTGTGGAGAAGTTGGAGGAAGGACTTTCGCAGTTCAGAATAAGATAAAACCATTTAAACAGTCAAAATTTGCCAAAACAATTTGTTGGAGGAAGAGTTAGCTTTCTGTCACCTGAGACATTTCAGAAAAGACTGGAAGATAATGCAGTGCATGTTTTTGTCCACAGAAAGGCATGGAGTGAGGGCTATGGAGGAGAAAATTCAGGCGTGAAAATCATCAGGATGAAGTGACCTTTAAGAATATGTGATTCTTTACAACCTGGGACCAGATAAGGGTTTTGTTCTTGCTTCCGAACTCTAAAACCTATCTCCCTATCTGTTTGCAATACTTTAAATTTTAATCTATTTCCTATTTCAGGGTATTATGCCCTGAATATTTGATTTGAATGCTATGGCAGAAGGTTACTCCTATTCATTTATTTTCTTTTACTCTTATACACTTGCAGTGAGTCTTTTGAATCCATTATGCAAATACATGCAAATCATATGCAAATACCGTGGCCTCAGAAAATGACAAAACCTTAACTGAGCCATCACACTTTTCTTTAAGAAGAAATGTAATATACTTTTTCAATGTCTCTGGGGCAGAAGACAATTTCCTGAGAGTGATATTTACATGATACTGGAAGTGATTACTCAGAGGAGTCTTTTCCTCACATTCTTCATATTCATGTAGGACTTTAAGGTTAAGAAAGCATTTTCATGTAAACTATCTCATCTGATTCTCATAATTACCCAGCGATGTCAGCAGAACAGGAATAGGAATGCCTGCTCTATTTTTCAGGTGGGAAATAGCCTCAGAAAAGTGAAATGACTTGCCCAAGTTCTCTCAATTGATAAACAATGGACCTGGGTCTCCTACCAGTCCAGGCTCCTCCCACTGCACCATGGTGTGTGGTCTTTAAACCACGCACCATGTGTGGTGTGTCTTTAAAGTAAGGTGGTTGGTTATCCATTTCCATTTGCTTAGACTGTGTTTTGCCAAACGCATCTTTGGATGTGTTTTGCTGTTGAGGACGAAATTTTAGGATGACCAGAAAAGTTGAAATACTTATATAGTAGCCCTAGCACAGTTTCTCCAACCCCCTCTTCTTTTAAACATCTGCTTTGAAATCTCCCGATGAAGAACTTTCTTTAACCCAACCCACTCTTCAGCTCTTTCAGAAGGCAAGACTCTTTCTTAAACTATGGAGAGTAAAAGCACAGTCTTGGCAGTGAGCCTGAATATAAGGCCCTAATCCACCTTCTAGTTGGGCTTGGAGAGGTCATTTCATTTCTCTAAACATCAGTTTCTCCATCTATAAAATGGAATGAATAACACCTCTTTGAGCCCTGGCTGGTGTGGCTCAGTGGGTTGAGTGCCAGCCTGTGAACCAAAGGGTCACAGATTCAATTCCCACTTGGGACACATGCCTGGGTTGCAGTCTGGGTCTGTTACGGAGTGCAGCCAAGAAGGGGGACCCCAAATGGGCATTTGAATGGGGTCCAGAACTCAAGGTGTTCAGGAGATTTTAAGATATCTTCACCCCTTCTCCCATAGGTATAAGTTAGGGGAAGGGGCACATAGAGCAAGAACATGCAGGGCAGCTTTTCAGCTAATCCATGGCATGGTCATTTAACATACCTATAGCCTTTGGCTGGTCGCTTAGATATGCTAAATAGCTATGGCCATGCTCTGGGCCAGGGAGATGGAAAGGGACCCCCCCAAGATGGGACTGGGGGGCAGGTTCCCTGAGTTACAGCGCCTGCGAGGGAGGTTGGAGAAGATTGGCTCCATGACATGGGGTCACACCTGCCCAGACCCACGATGGCGACCAGAAAAGCTGGAAAGGACAGCAGATTGAGGGCAAATGTGGCTGAGTGTGGGAAGAGTCAGAAATGGGGCTACAGAGGAAGATTGGCACGGGGATTTAAACCCAGACACAGCAGCCATTGAGGGGAGAAGCACGCGGTTTTAGCTGAGTGGGGACTCCCATGGCCCTGGGAGAGAAGACCACGTCACTGGAGCAGAGATCCCGGCGACTCAGCTGAGGGTGCCAGGAACCAAGGGAAGCCTACCAGCCTAGCACGGCTGAGACAAGGACTTCTATTTCCTTTCCTGAGATATGGTACTCTGGACTGGGCAAAGGGGTAAGGAAGGACTGTGTCTGTTTGTGGGTGTTTTAAGAGACTTTGGGATTTTGATGAAGACACTACGTCACTACTTTAAGTCTGTATAGCATTAAATAAGCATTTCCTTTCCTTGTCACGAATCTCTGACATTGAGAGACATCTTCCCTACAGACAGCGGACATAATGGACCTGGGGGGTTTCTTTCAGTAATAGTATATCGTCCCAAGGCCCCTCTTGTTTGTTCTGTAACAGGTCCACAGTAGGGGGTGCATGAGAGGCAACCACACATTGATGTTTCTCCCCCTCTCTTTCTCCCTCCCTTCCCCTCTCTCTAAAAATAAATAATTTTTTAAAGTAACACCTCTTTGATAGAATATGTGATAAGGAACTATGCAAGAAAAAAAGAAACAGCCTGCTTAGTGACTGACACATAGTAAGTGCTCAATAAATGGTAATTACCATAGTTATTATATTAGTAGTAGTGATACAGTAGTGGTAGTATTAGTAGTACATCTCGAGTCACAGTGACTTGATGCTAACAATTGGACTATTGGAAATGGAATAGGGAAACAGTAATGCTAACTATCTCCTGTATGCCAGAGTTGGAGAGCAGACAAGGTCCAAGGTAGCTAAATTCAGCCTGATGAGGAATGCTTGAATTTTCACTTTCTTTAAACACTACCACATCTTGCGCCACAATGAGGATATTCCCAATCCTGCTTCAAAGCTGTTTCTAAGGAGAAACAGAGCCAAGGCTGACATTCTCAACTCTGCTCTCTCTTAGTCAGAGGGCTCTGTACATAGCAGTGTCCTCTACTGGGTCAGGTTGGGAAGGAACAAGGAGGGATTCCACTCTGCTGCTTTAGTCGGCCTGGGTCACCAGCTTAAGGGATGGATTTGTCCTCCTTCTGTTCTGAGACCAGAGGTGGGTGTTGGTGAGGTGGCCCAGGCAGGAGCAGAGGGTGCACGGAGTAGCCACACTCACTCGGGAGGGTGACCCTGTCCCCTCGCTCCAGTTCCCAGCTCCCGCAGCACCACAGCAGGACTCAGTACTTCCGTCTGCACCCAAAGAGTGCTCTGCCCTTCCTTCCAGCGTGCCGGCACCTCTCCCACTCACCCATCCAGGACAACCAACAACAGCCTCCCTCATGAGGACAGCTTCCTGCTTCCACAGCCTCTCTCGAGGAATGGGGCCTGGAGCTATCGGAGTAGGCCCAACCCTTGAAGGTGGCCGAAAGTCAGCATGAGCAGCTCAGAAAGGCTGCACAGCAAATGCGTGTGTGCCAGGAAACGCACTGGGCCATCCTGGGGCTGGGTCTGCAGCTATTTTTGGCAAGGGTGGGTGGTATGTAAAGAGACTTCCCATTTTCTACAGCACAGAGCCACGAGACACAAGTAGTCAGAGCACTTCTTGCTCTGAGATCACCCTTCTGAACACCTCTCTCGCTGCTGAGTCACCGAGGCCCTCGTCGGTGAGCCCACCAGGCTGGGGTGGCCCTGGTCCCATGATGGCGCCCCCTGTCAGCCACTTCCTGCTGGTGGTGCTGTTTTCTGCCAGCTGTAAAGCCATCATCTCCTTGGATCAGATGTGCACGGAGGTGAGTCCAAGTCTTCATCCAGATTAAACTGCCTGGCAATTTTGAGATTCAGCCTGCAGCCCAGCTGAGTCTTGGCACCCCGATACCCACTTTATGCCTTTGAAAGGGCAATGAGGTATGTAGAAGTTTTTCTTTCTTGTACAGAAGGAGCCAAGAGCTCAGCCAGGGGACAATCCCACAGAGCCTTAGCAGGAAGAGGTAAGAGTTTTCCTCCTCTGTAAACAATGAGCCCAAAATAATCCTAATTGGGACATAAAATATCAACAGGGTTGCAGTGCAAAGAGCAGACCTGTGCACCTGCCACCAGTGCAGAGGTGCTGTTTGTCCAACATGGCAGCACATGGCCCTGCCCCCACCAGCCCTTCGGTTTCCTGGCTCTCGGGGTGGGGATTAGTCAGGACAACCTGTGCCAGAGTTTACAGCGTGTAGCGATCACTCTGAAGGAGCCTGGCATTCCCCTCCAGTTGGACAGCCCTCCATCTGTTTTCCTAACCCACAGGAGTGGTATTGGAGATCAGAGCCAAATTGCACCTTCTGTTTGGAACCATAACAACACTTATCAACCTGTGGGAAATTCTTAAAAGAGGTGATGAGAGAGGTAAAGAGGGACTCCATCAGTCTTTTCCATCTTCTAAAATGCTTCAAAACCTTCCTCCCACTGTCTGTGATGGCAGCAAGTGGACAGCAGCACGCGGCCTGTTGGGCAAGAGCAGGAGAAGGACCATCAGTCTTGGTGTCCGGGTGGGCTGCTTTTCTGGGCTAGGGCTAACAGCAGAAGTGGAGGCAGGAGAAGCACGATGCACAAAAGTAGTGGTTGGGAGCCACGGGCAGGAGAAAGCTAAGAGAGAATGCTAAGGGATCAGGGAGCAGGCCAGCACTGGAACAGGCCTGGGAGCAGAGAGGAACGGAACCTTGTTAGTCGGGTATTAGGATGGAATCAGGACACACTAAGGCTAAGCAGAGGCACAGCGCCTGGGGGAGGGAAGGCTGGGAAGGCGGATAATTTTGTCCGGGCTACCATAGCAAAGTGCCATAGACTGGGTGGCTTAAGCAAAGGAACCTATTTTCTCATAGTTATGGAGGCTAGAAATCCAAGATCAAGGTGTTGGCAGGGTTGGTTTCTTCCAAGATCTCTCTCCTTGGCTTGTTGGTGGCCATCTTCTCTCTGTGTCTTCACATGGTCTTCCTTCTGTACATCCATCCAGACAGAAGGAAGGAAACTTCCTGTCTGTCTCCAAACTTACTCTTATGAAAATACCAGTCATATTGAAATGGGGTCCACCCTAATGATCTCATCTTAATTTAATTATCTATTTAAAGGCCATTTCCAAATAAAGGCACATTCTGATGTACCTGGTTAGTAATTAAACATACGGATGGGGAAGGGCACAATTTATTCTATAACAGAAGGGAGTGAGTAAGAGGTTATCAGCCAGCCCCAGAAGGCTGCCTCCTCATTCACGTTGGAAGGTCAATCTCACACAGGCATGTAGCCAGCATGATAAGAGGACAGGAGTGGGCACACAACTGCCTCACTGATTGGATAGGTATGCCATCCACCTCTGATAACACCCTCAGGTAGGACAGTATGACCATTACATTCCAGCTCATTCGGAAGCTGATTTTTTTTAAACGCCACACTCCTAAGCCTACACATTCAACTCTTAAACCCCCATATTCCTGCAAAGCCCCATCAGCCCTTCTGAAGTGCACAAGAGAGTCCTGGGAGGTTTGGAAAGCCCGTGGAAACACTGGGCCAGTCTAGCTTCCTACTGAGGACACCAGGTCCTAGAGCTGCCAATTCCTTTCTGCAAATGACCCCTGCTTTGGCAGAGGGAAGGGAAAGAGGCAGGGAGAGCACCCTAGTCCTTTTGCTACCCCCTGAGACATTCAGGTGGCAAGAGTGGTGCTGAGGGTCCCGGGATCTCCAGCCTGACCCTATGCTGCAGCGACACCTTTTCTTTTTGGCTAAGTTTGTATTGAAACCCTCCAATACAACAACCTCCCGGCAGCCTTCCCTCTGGAAGAAGTTGGATTTTAAATGCTCCAGGACCTAGTCCATGAACACTGGATCTCCATTTTCCTAGACCTCTTCTATTATACAGGTGTTCTCAGCAGCAGGATTCTAAGGCTGTGTATTGAGTCCTTATTCACGTGAGCAATGGGGAAATACAAAAATAGATGAGAATTGTTCTTGAAGGTGAAGAACTTCTAGGCTGCAGGCAAGTAGGATAAAAGGGGGAGTGGTAGAGGAAGAAGTTTGACTTAAGTGTTTGATCCTTTTCAAGTGCAAATGACCACAGTTAGCCTACCCCTCTGCCTTACTTTCCTTTCCTCTTTAGCTCTTCCCCTCCAGCTTAAGCATAACTAACCACATACTGTACTTATGTTCACGTAACCACCACTAGCTCATTAGCATCTATCTTGAAAACAAGGTTTCGTTTTGTTCTTAGTTTAGTGAACTTTTTATTGAAGTAAAACATAAATGCAAAAAAGTTCACCAATCCTAAGTGTACAGTTCAGTGGGTTTTTACTTAGTTAATACATCTATGTGGCCAGCACACAGATCAAGAAAGAGCTGTCTCAGGGCCTCAGAAGCCCCTCCCCCCCCTCCTCCCAGGCTCCGGCCCCAAGGACATCCAGCACTCCAGTTTTCATCGCCACTGATTGATTGAGCCTCTTTTTGAATTTTATATACACAGGACCAGCGAGCGTGTACTTTTTTATGTCTGGCTTTTTTGTTCAGCATAAATATATGAGATTTATTGATGATGGTCTGTGAACCAATCCTTTGTTCATTTTCATTACTGAAGAGTTTTCTGTGGTATCGTGAGCCACCATTTATTTACCCGTTCTACAGTTAATGGACGTTTGCCCTGTTTTCAGTTTTTGGGCTGTCATGAATGCTGCTGCTTTGGAGTTCTTATCTATGTCTTTAGTGAGCAACTGCACAAATCATTATTAGGTATACACCAGGGTATGGGTGCACATGGTCATAAAGCATACACATGTCTAAGTTTAGCAGATACTGCCGAACAGTTTCCAAATTGTTGACACCCATTTATAATCATCAGCAACGTATATCAATTCTGTTTGCTCCACAGCCTCACTAAAATTTGCTATTGTTTGTTTTAAAAACCCATCCGGGTGGATGGATAGTGGTATTTCCCTGGGATTTAATTTTTATTTTCCTGATGAATAATTAAACTCAGTTCATTTTCACGCTTCTGTTGGCCATTTGCATATCCTCATGTGTGTGGGCAAAGTACCTCTTCAAGTCTTTTGCCCGTATTCTTTTAGGTGTCTGTCTTTTTTAAAAAAATTGAGTTGTAAGAGTTTTTTATGTACTGTGCACACAAGTCCTTAATCAGATAGCAAATACCTTCTCCCACTCTGGGGCTTGCCTTTCCACTCCCCTACTGATACCTTTTGATGAACAGAAGTCTTCAATTTTAAAGTAGCTGGATTTATCATTGTTGCTTTACTTTCAGTGCATTTCTGTCCCATTTAAAAAATTCTGCCTACCCAAGGCCATAAAGGCATTATCATTTGTTTTCTTCTAAAATTTATGTTTTGTACTTGTATCTCTTCCTAGGTTTCACATTTAGAGCTATAGTCCGTCTGGAATTGCTTTTTGCATATGAAATGAGGTAGGAGTCATGGTGAATTTTTTAATAAAAGTTTTGTTTGAAGATATTTCAAACTTAGACAAGTTCTGAAAATAATACAATGAACACCCATCAGCCCTCCACGTAGAATCTTCCATTGTCAGATGCTACCTGTTCTCTGTGGGTGTGCACGCATGCACACACCATGACTAACCAAATGAGACCCATGGCCAAGGCTTTAGAGGCTGACAAATATGTGAAGCATAGCTGGAACCCAGTGTTCTGTGATTTGGATTTTGGTGGCATTTTAGATGTGCTCTTGAATAATTACTTGGGAGGATAGGTACGCCTCCTCATTTCAAATAGGCTCGTCTCAGCTATTCTGTACACTCAAAACCATGGTTGGAGACATTCCCTCAGTCCTAAGTATGGGGGGAGGGGAAGTGTGCTTAGTAAAGCTTCTTTTTGGGAGAACTCCAAGTTCATGGATACAAACACTTTCTAATAGCTCCAGACAATGCCATGATGCTGTGATGATCTGGTGAAATACTAACTTCCCTTGGGAGTGCTTGACATACATTATCCAATAAATCCTGAGTTGGCCTGCAATCAAGGGTTACTGTCCTCCATTTACAGTTGGGAGAAAGGAGGCTCAGAGAACACAGCTTAGTGGTTGAGAGCTGGGTTTTGAACCCAAGCAGTCTGAAAGCAGACAAACAGAAAATGAACCGCACATAATTGGAATGCCCTTTGCCTAGAGGAATCAGATTGACAACCAAGTTTTATAACTGTGCCCTCTTGGGAATGCTTTGTTTTACTTGCAGAGAGTAATTGTTACTCTGGAATTAGGCTCTGTCAAATTGCTATCTCTGGATAAAGGAGTGATTAACAGGAGGCTTGGGGTTCAGCCTCCCAGACTTCTTGGCCATGGCGGAGCTGGCTGCTGCGTGTGCCAAGTGTAAATGAGACATCCGGAAAGGTGGGAATCAGCACCAGAGTGAAACTCAAAGGATTCTAAATTAGAAAATGATTTCAACACTTGCAAAAGGAGAAAATACAGCGGGACAGCAGGGAGTTAGAGATACAGCAGAAAGGAGCAAAAATAAGATCCTGATTGAAAAAATGCAAATGAATACCTGCAGGGAGAAGGGACGGCAAACACAGACACAGCGCTTGGGAGTGCTGCTCTGGGTAAAAGGCACAGCTCTGACATGAAGCTCCGACACGACGAAGTGGTTGGTGCAGGCCCTAACAGTGGTCCTGGGTAGACACCCCATGATTTGGAATGGGGGTGGCCGGGGGCAGCTGCCCTGAATCCCAGGTAGCCTTGCACAGCCCTGCTAACCACATGAGTTCACAGCCAGAAGGGTGCTGTCTCCCTTGGAACCAACCAAAGCAGAAGAGTGAGAAAGTGACTTTGAAAACTGACCCCATGTGGAAGTCTAGAGCAGCGATTTTCAACCTTTTACATCTCAGGGCACACGTAAACGAATTGCTGAAATTCTGTGGCACACCAAAAGATGTATTTTTTGCCTATATGACAAAAAATAGGTATACTTTTGATATGTTGACACCAGTGTTGGCCGGTGTCATTTTTTTATTTGACACCGTTAAGAAAAAGAGGCCAGGGCCCTTGACTAAATAGTCAGGCATTGACTGTTTTAAAAATTCTTGCAGCACACCAGTTGAAAATCACTGGTCTGGAAAATGAAGGCTGGGTTTATAGAAAGTGGTCATGTGGAGCTCAGAGAAACCACAGGGGCTGTAAAAGCGGTGGTGGGTGTCTGCCTGGAAAAGCAATTGAACACGCAGCCCTGGCCCCCAGCCCAGCCCTGGGCAATGGCAATAGCCACACTGCACTCCTTTCCTGAGTTCCGTCCTTTTCTTCTCTTGCATTCTCATTCTGCTGCCCTGACATGCTGTGCTACGCTATCAGAATTTGTTCTCAAAACGTTTTGATATGAATCCTGACAGCGAGAAAGACATAACCTCATTCATGCAGTATTTCTGCCAAAAATATATAACCTGAACAAATCCTGAGGGCAGAGTGAAAAAACCCAAATGAGGGCCATCCCATAAACTATGATCCTGTATTCATTAGAAGAAAAAAAAAGCAATGCCATGAGAGATAATGAAAGGCTGAGGAATTGTCTCAGATTAAAGGAGACTAAAGAGACAAGGAAAAGAAATGCAATATGTAACCCTAGATTGGAAAAACAAAAATTACTACAATAGGCAATATGGGACTATTGGCAAAATTTGAATATAGATTGTATGTTGGATAATAATATTATATTGCCTTGGCCAAGTGACTCAGTTTGTTGGCATGTTGTCCCATACACAAAAAGGTTGCAGTTTTGATTCTCGGTTGCAGTTTCCATCCCCAGTAGGAGACAACCGATCAGTGTTTCTCACTCTCTCTCTTCTTCTTTCTCTAAAATGAATAAACATATCCTCAGGCAAAGATAAAACATTTTTTAAATAATATCATATTAATGTTAAGTATTCTGATTTGTGGTAATTGGCACTGTGGTTATATAAGAATATCCTTTTCCTTAAAAGAGTTAGGGGTGAAGGGTCATGGCATCTGCACTGACTCTCAAAGACAAACAGAATGGGTGTGTGTGCGTGTGTGCATGTGTGTATATACTTGGTGCCCTAAGAAATACATTTAACTCTGCTTAAATGATTCCAGAGCTTGAGGGGTTTTGGCATCACCATCCGTAATATCAGAAATGGTAATTTTGATTGTGCTGGAGTGTGAATGTGAAAGCAAAAGAGAGACGCCAGCACATTCTCTGATATGCGTTTGCTCTGCAAATTCTCCTATCAGCTGCAATTCCTGTCATTTGCCTCCTTCACCCAGAAATCCAAGGCAGAGAGCTCACTGCGGTTTCTCCCTAAGTGGAGGTGGATGTCACCACACGGGCTCACAGAGGCTCCTCACTACTTCTTGGTAGTGTGAAGTCCCCTGGCTGGCGGTTTCTCAGTGGGTTCAAACGGAGCTACCTCATTTCCCTGCCTTTCCTTTTGCTAGGAGCTCCCTCAGGCCACTGGCTCAGTAGAGCTCCGGCTCCATCCTCAACTTTCTGAATCACATTAGTGAGGTAAAGTGTTTAGTAAAGCACAAAAGAGGAATAATTTAGGCATCACAGGCACTTACATATTCTGGAGGAGGGAACTGCCAGAGCGTAGGTTTTTTGCTGTGTGGACAGAATAGAGCAAGACGAATGGAGGCAAGGCCCCTTTCTCCAAGTGTACGTGACATCAGTGATGTCAAGGGAGACCAGGAAAGAAAAATGCCCCCTCAAAGCTAATCTGAACCTTAACAGCTCCTGGGGCAGCACCTGCACATACTACCTCTCCCTGGTTCACCCATGTTAGTGGGCACCAAAGAGGGGTCTAGCAAGATGTGTTTGTTTCTTTTCCCCACCAAGGACATTAGGTGGATTTGTGGCAGTGCCTGGAGGACTTTGGGTCTATACAACAAAATATGAATTACAAAGAAATATAAGTGTGGCACATTCATCAGGGACATTCATAATATGGTCACAATATAGAAAACGGAGATTTCTTGTACATGAGCACGCCGACTGTAACTACAAAAAAGCGTGCCACCAAGCAGAAGTTTCCAGCTATGCAGGCCTGTTTGCAGCTCAGGATGAGGAAAGCTGCCGATCTCAAGTTTGATGAGGCAAGTCTTTCCCAGACCGGGGCAGTCTCAGAGGGGCCTCTGTGAGACCCCACACAGTGCGGGGAATGGCGGGGTCCAGAAGGTTGAATGAACTCGAGTGGAACCTGAGATGGTCTGAGAGATGGCCCCCAAGTGCAGTTTCCTTGGAGAGTATTTCAAAAGAGATGTAATCAGACCTACATACCTGCCCACTGTGTTTTATCCTAGACATTATCCAGGTAAATTATGACCCCCTAATTCTATATACTTCTCCCAACCCCTAACATTTTACCAGTTAGTCCCAGGTTTATAACTTGAGTTAGGGAATCTGACTAGCAGTTACTAGCAGACTTCTACAAACTTGACTCTCCTGGGACACGGGGTCAAGTTGTCTTCTGAACTTACGTGCAGGGCTGTGCCCAAAACAACAGTGGCTTGTGGGGACCTGAAATAGATTCACACTTCAAAATTGCAAGGCTCCATGACCTAAGGTCTGTGCCCCACTGCTAACTCATTGAAATATACTACAGAAATTTCTAACCATGTACAAATGTAATTAGTTACAAGGAATCTGTATGTACTCATCACTCAACATTCAACAACCACCAACGTTTCACCTACTAATCTCATCTATCGACTCTTCCTCCCGTTTCTGCCAGAGTATTTTAAAGCAAACCTCAGAGATCATGTCATTTTACTCCAAAATACTTCAAAATGCATCTGAAAAAAATAAGAACATTTCTCTTATCACTAACATATAATTCTTTAGTATTTTTTGATATTCTGTCTGCATTCAAAGTTTCTTGACAGTCTATTAAAGTGTCTTCCTAAATGCATTATTTGAACTAAAATGTAAATAAGGGCTACTCCATTATCTGTTGGTTATTCTCTTAAGCGACTTTTATGTCTCTTTTTTCAAGAGCCGTCTTTTGTCTCCTCCCACACCCTCCTCTCTCCACTTTCACGCACAGCATTCACATTCTTATGAAGCAAGGTCAGTTGTTCTGTGAATGTCCCACCTTCTGCATTTGGCTGATCGCTACCTTGTGCTGCTGTTGAACTTAAATCCCCTACACCCTTAACAGATTGGAAATTAAGCCTGAAGTCATGATTGAATTCAAGCTTTAATTGGGGGCAGGGGCCAAGAATGTGTGTAGTTAAAATTGTATCACATCAGAAAGTCTGAATGTCTGATCGTCTAATCTGTTGTTGCTGGTCTAGTGTTGACTAGTTTTCAAGATGAAATAAAACATTTCCATGAGTCCCAAGTCAAATCTCTCAAAGTATATTCAGAGAAGTCTTATTTCAATTCTTGCTCCTCTATCTGCTTCCTTTTCTCCCTTTCAAGACAACAAGTCACGAGTTTTTCCCCCATGTTTTTTTTTTTTGGCAAATGTAAGAAAATACACACATACCTTTCTCACTGAAAAAGTAGTATACAATATACTACATATACATCCCATGTACTATATACACTATATACATTCGACACATTGCTTTTTCCACCACACAATATACCTGAATATCACCCCATATCAGGGTGTGGAGATCTTACTCACTTCATTTTCAGCTACTAAAGGTTCCCTTTTGTTAACATGCCGTATTTTGTTCAATTAATCCTATGGTGATGGGTAATCTTGTTATGGTCAATCTTCTAATACAAAAAATGCTAAAATGAATAATCTTATGCAAAAGTCATGTCGTGGTTTTGCAAGTATATATTTAGTAAAGACTCCTAGAAGTGGGATTGCTGCTCAAAATATAACATATATATAGATTTGTTGGTCAAATGACAAAGTCTGTTATTAATTTACATTGTTTCTCTCATCAGAAAGAAGCCAACAAAACATACAACTGTGAAAATTTAGGTCTCAGAGAAATTCCTGACACTCTACCAAACACAACAGAATTTTTGGAATTTGGCTTTAATTTCTTGCCTACAGTTCAAAATACAACTTTCAGCAGACTCATAGATCTTATCTTTTTGGATTTAACCAGGTACGTATCTGAGTTCCCTGTACTCAGTTGATGTTTCACTTAAGCAATAACACAACTTGCATTCCAGTTGTTCCCTGGACCTTTCGTGGGCCACAGGGACATGCTCATCCTGTGTGTTTACTCTCTCCCAGGAAATAGGCTTATGCAGGTGGAATAAGGCTATTTTATTTTTAAAAAAGCAATCAATGGAGAAGACAGTGAATTGTTCAACCACAGTAGGTCAATTGTGCTATTTAAGAAGTTCTAAGCAACACTGATAACAGAACTGAAAATAAATTTTGTACTAAATCAGATGCATATTGTACTATATATTATTGGGCAATAAATTTTTAAAACTTTATAGGAGAAACAAACAATCTGCTCATTTTTTCCCCTACAAATTGGGAAAAGAGTTCCATGCTTTGGTTTTAGAGGTCAAATCAGGATTTCAACTGTTGAACCAGTGTTTATGAGCCAATGGGCAGAAGTATCACAAGGAGGTAAAGGAAGCAAACAAGAGGGAAACACAGTGTGTGTGTGTGTGTGTGTGTGTGTGTGTGTGTGTGTGAGAGAGAGAGAGAGAGAGACAGAGAGAGAGAGAGACAGAGAGAGAGAGAGACAGAGAGAGAGAGAGAGAAAGAGAGAGAGAGAGAGAGAGAGAGAGAGAGCGAGAAACGGCCCTGCATGTGGATGGGGCCTGCACTCTCTGCACAGCTGTTCCTTTGGTTGTTCAACTTAAGCTTGTGCAGAGTGGGAGTCCACAACGATAATACTATATCACCTGTATAAACCACCACTGTGAGGGAGGCATGGTAAATATGATCATCCAGCCTATGACAGATGAGAAAGTGGAGGCTCAAGAAGATTTTGTGAGCTGGCTTATGGTCACAGGGTAAGGAAACTGGGCCTCTGCTCTCCTGACTCCCCGTCCAGATTCCCTCCAATGCCATCAGGCCACCTCCCCAGCCAAGACCCCATGTGCACGTGGTCAGAAAATCTTGAAAGAACTGAAAGAGAAAAACATTATTGTGCTACCTACCTATTACACCCCAAGGAAATTGACTTTCCCTCTCCTTTTGCCTTTCTCATTTTTAGATTAAATGAGTTTGACCACATTTTTGAAGAAGTGCATGGGCCAGGACAGCTTTTCTAGCTAAAGAAGTCTAAGTTTTCTCTTATTTTCAAAAATTGATAACAATATGACCTCATGTTTTCTAAGAGCCCTTTCCTCTGCTCTCCCCACCCCTTGTCTTTTATCTGGCCACAAATCAGACACTACTTCTATCACTCTAAACAGTCCTCGTGTCTTTAGCTTTGCCAATGTGCTTTCTATTTTCTTTGCTCATTCTTCCATCTTGCTTTTCAGATCTTCCTCTCTGGAAGAATTTTTCTTTTTTCTGAAGTACACCCTTAGAAATTCCTTTAGTGAGAGTCTGTGAGCGGTAAACTCTCTTGGTTTTTGTTTTTTATGAAAAGGTCATTATTTCACTCAGATTCTTGAAAGACAGTATTTTCTGACATGTAATTATAGGTTGACAGTGTTTCTTCTCAGCCTTTGATGCTATCATTGCAGTCTTCCATTGTTGCTGCTGGGCAGTCACAGATCTTGTTCACAGGCAGGTGATCTGTCTTTTCCTCTCTGGATGTTTTCAGTAGCTTCCCTTTGTCTTTGGCATTCTGCAATAGCACAATCATGCACTGTGCAGATTGTTGGCCTCCTTGAATGTGATGTGGTTGTCTATACTAGCCACTATCGGTTCAGACCTTGGCTTGCCTCCATTCACTCTTTCATCTCCCCTGGATCTTCGATTAGACTTACATTGTGTCTTCTCATCTATCCTTCATGTACCTTAATATATATTTTTTTTGCTTTCTATGTCTGTGGTTTTTGGGGACTGTATTCTAAGTAATTTTCTCATATTTACTTCTAGTCCATTAATATCCTCTTCAGCTGTGTCTAATTTCCTGTATAGATTATACATTGGCTTTCTAATTTCAACTACTATCTTTTTCCATTTCAATAAGTTTCATTGATTTTTCACATTACATACAAGGGGGAACCCCCCAAAATAGAATTTATTTATGAAAAATTGTGTATTTATTCTTACATGTTGAAACTTCAGTCACCTTCAAAGTACTCTCCATTTGATGCAATACACCTAATGAGACTTTTTTGCACTACTCAAAACATTTTTTGAACTTGTTGATTTTGATGCTTTTTAGTGCTTCTGCTGTTTTTGTTTCACCTCTTCCACATAGACAAAATGTTTCCCTCTGGGAACTTTTTTCATCCAGGAAAACCAAAAAAAGTGGCTCAGTGGGAGATCAGGTGAATGGAGATGGAGGGGCATTGGGGTCATGACTTTTTGTTCAAAAACTCCTCAACATGCAGCATAGTGCAGGCAGTTGTGCCTGTAAATCACCCATCATGAAATGGGAAAACGTGTTGAAAGAGTCTTCAGAAAAACTCACTGAAGCCAAATGCAGCCTCTCATGACAATGCCAGCTGACACACTGACACAGATGAGTTCCTAGAACGTTCATCCAAGCAGGGGAAGCCTGTACTACAAGGGGCCTGCCCTCCAGAAGATAATTCTGTTTTTTTTTTTGGATATGGACATATTTATCTATACTCTGATAATATACTCTGACAGTATAGACTATATTTATATATCATGTATATTATTGGATCCATCTGATAATTCTGGTATCTGCTTTTTTTGAAACCTAATTCTGTAGAACTATATTCCCCCTGACTTTAGCTAATGTGTTTCCCTTATAAGTCAGTTTTTATTTTTGAGCTAATTTTTCTTATGGAAATGTGTGTAAATCTTTGTTTAAAATGCTTTCCTGGAATTAGATAATACCAGTGAATTATTAACATTGTTTTATGTGACAATGGCATTATGGTTATAAAAAATAAGCCTTGATACTTTTACAGATACCTACTCAAATATGTATGGGATACCTAGGATTTGCTTTAAAACCGTTCAGGAGAGAGAGGTGGGAATAGATAACACAAGGAAACATACGTGGCAAAATCTTGAGAGTTGCTACATGTGTGTGATAATTATATGAAGGTTCATTGCATTATTCTCTTTGCTTTCATGTAAATTTGAAAGCTTTCCTTATTAAAAATTAAGTACATCAATCTGGAAGTTTCTATTTACTTCTTCCAGTTACTTGAAGTTACTATACTCTGGAATGCCTTTAAGCTAAAATTTCCACTCAGGTTTCTTTTGGGAGGTCCACAGAAGTAGCGTAAATTTGGGCCTCAGTCCTCATGAGTAGAAGCTATGGTTAGGGAATCTCTGAGACTTTCTTGTTCTTGTTTTTCTTGTTCCACTCAGCGTCAAGGCCAAGAAAAAGACAAATCCTTAAGATCCCTCTCTGTGAGCTTTCTTTTTCAAGGTCATCCACTGAAAAGATTCCGCAGAGCATCTTGGTAGTTTACAAGTAGTTTTTGGTAGGACCTCCTATCCTATCTCCAAGCTTTGTCTCCTGCCACTGATACATGTGGCTCATTAAAACCAAGACTCTAGGCCACTAGGGACCGACAGATATTGGCAGATATGGCAAAGCTAGTGTGCAATCCAATATTGTTGTCAGGTGCCATATCAGGATGTGTGTCTATGAAGCTCTAGTGTTGCATATTTCTATGGAGTATTTTCATATATATCACTGGATTTACAACCACTCTAGAAAGTAATCCTTATTTCTATACTTTATAGTCGAAAAAAGAGAGGTTGAAAAAAGTTATAATTTGATCAGGATTACACAGATTTGTATATAACAGATCTTTATTATGCACTATATATAACACACATATAACATATGTAATTCATTATATATAACATTTTATATTACTTAAAATAGTAAATAATACTTTGATTTTTTCCAGTGATGAACCCATTAATTATTCCCCTAGATTCCAAACACAAACCACTTAGAGATCAATCTAAAAGAGCAAGATATTTGGGGGGGGGCGCGGATCTAAATCAGTATGTTTAGAACTGAAGCTAGTCATTAATTCAGCAGGTCCTTTGTGCTTACTGAAGAACATTTTTTATATTTTACTTTGAACAATAATGTACACTGTTTTTACTATACACAAATGGTGACTTTGTTACTATAGGTCACTGTGACAGAGTTTTTTCATTTCTCTAATTAATTAGTGTTAAATATTGTTCTCTTCTCGAGGTGCCAGATTAACTGGATACACGAAGACACTTTTCAAAGCCATCATCAATTGAACACGCTGGTGCTGACTGGAAACCCCCTGATATTCATGGCAGAAACCTCACTTGATGGACCCAGGTCACTGAAGCATCTCTTCTTAATCCAAACAGGAATATCTAATCTCGAGTTTATCCCAGAGCAAAATCTGAAAAACTTGGAAAGTCTGTATCTTGGAAGCAACCACATTTCCTCCATTAAGTTCCCAGAAAACTTCGCAACACAGAATCTGAAGGTTCTGGATTTTCAGAATAATGCTATACACTACCTCACTGGGAAAGACGTGAGCACCCTGGAGGCCACCAACCTGAGCCTTAATTTGGATGGCAATGACATTAAGGACGTTGAGCCGGGGGCTTTCCATTCAAAAGTCTTCCAAAGTTTGAGATTTGGAGGGACTCTCGACTTGTCTGTCATATTAAAAGGTCTACAGAACTCTACTACTCAGTCTCTCTGGCTGGGGACATATCAGGACACCGAGAAACAAGACCTTACTACAGCCACGTTTGAGGGACTTTGTGAAATATCTGTTGAGAGCATTAACCTGCAGCAGCACCATTTCTCTCCCTTGTCGTCTACCATGTTCCGGTGCTTCACGCAACTCCAGGAATTAGATCTGACGGCAGCTCACTTGAGAGAGTTACCCTCTGGGATTCAGGGTATGAACTCTCTCAAGAAATTAGTTCTCAATGTAAATCATTTTGAGCAGTTGTGTCAAGTCAATGCTGCCAGTTTCCCTTCCCTTACCGACCTCTATATCAAAGGCAACCTGAATAAACTTAGCCTCGGTGCTGGATGTTTGGAAAAACTAGAAAATCTTCAGAGACTTGATTTAAGCCACAGTGATATAGAGGCTTCTGACTGCTGTAATCTGCCACTCAAAAGCCTGCACAACTTGCAGTACCTAAACCTCAGCTACAATATGCCCATTGGTCTCCAGAGTCAGGCATTCAGAGAATGTCCTAAGCTAGAAGTCCTGGATTTGGCATTCACCCACTTGACTGTCAGTGCCCCACAAAGCCCCTTCCAAAACCTCTCCCTCCTGCAGACTCTGAATCTCTCTCACTGTCTCCTTGATACTAGCAATCAGCACCTTCTGGAAGGCCTGCTGGATCTCCGGCAACTGAATTTACAGGGAAATCACTTTCAAGATAATAGCATCTCAAAGACCAATCTACTTCAGACTGTAAGCAGCTTGGAGGTTCTGATTTTATCCTTCTGTAAGCTCCTCTCTGTAGACCAGCAAGCATTCCACAGCCTTGGGAAAATGAGTCACATAGACTTAAGCCACAACAACCTGACAGAAAATAGCATCAATGCTCTTAGCCATCTTAAGGGGACCTACCTCAACCTGGCTGCCAACAGCATTCGCATTATCCCACCGGATCTCCTCCCCATCTTGTCCCAGCAGAGCACCATTAATTTAAGTCACAATCCCCTTGACTGCACTTGTTCAAATGTTCATTTCTTGACATGGTACAAAGAAAACCTGCAAAAACTGGAGGACTTGGAGGAGACAGTGTGTGCAAATCCCCCGAATTTAAGGGGAGTTAAGCTTTCTGAGGTCAGTCTATCCTGCGGGATTACGGCTGTGGGCATTTTTTTTCTTGTAGTATTTTTATTCTTGTTCATCATTCTGCTCATTTTTTCAGCTAAATTCTTCCTTAGGTGGAAATACCAGCACATTTAGTGCTGCAGGTTTCCAGAGACAGCAAATAAATGTGTTCATCAAAATCACCCCAAGTAAAGGAACTGTTGTCTGTTGGTGACCGGAATTCAAGACTGGTTCCTGGCACCAGGCAAGGATTTGCTCTGCTTCTCTGAGCCCCAGAAATGACGAGCCTCGCAGGAAAGCAAAGTGAATGAGACCAAAGGGATAGACAGCCGTGACAGACACAGAGCCATGTCCTCACATGGAAGGTGGGTGGAAGGCGAGGAAGGACCCGTGGCAGGCATGGCCAGAGAAGTCACCCACAAAGATGCCACCTCCCTTACACTCATGGACTTCCTTTGAAGCACCTCCCACCCTGAGCCGAAAAGGAAACAGTCATTGCCCACCCCTTGGCCGGGCTGAGGACCCTGGCTCCTGACTCCCTCTCACACGATGTGGGCATTGTCCTTGGGTCTCAGTTCCCAGTAACATGGCAGTTGCAGACACTTGTTGTGGATAAAGTCGCAGTGCTCATTTTAATGGAAAAGGGAAAACAAAGAATTTAAAAGAGGCTGAGAAATGAATCTTGTCATCAGATTGACTCCATTAATTTCCCTAATCCTTAGGTATCTGAGGGTCTCTACAATGTTGCCATGGTACAAATCGCTACCCCTCCTAAAAATGACCTCCACCAGGACCTCCTTCCCCCAAGGTTTAGGATTTTTGTTACACTGGTCATGCTCACCTGAGAACTGGGAAGCTCCTTCTGCTGCTAGTCGGGTGCTCTCGCTCTTACGTCACAGAGACTAACTTACAGGTGGGCTGGGGGCCAAAGGCTCTTCTCATTTGGCTGTCTGGTCCCTCCAAGCTTCTTTCCCACAGGAACCGTGAGATAAATGGTGATTTGGCTCCCAGGTCATTTCTCAAATGTCTCCTCACTTGGGGCGGCAATTGAAATAGCACATTTACAATGAAAATGAGTGGGAGAAAGCATCGTGGCAGACAAGCTGTCTGTCAGGAACACAATAAGCTGGCCCAGTGAATGGTTTCTGTTTGGTGTCAGTAAAGGCGGTACCTGCAACAGAGAGGGGACAGGACTGCTGAATGCAGACAGAGAAAAGGATAGGGAAGCTGGCAAGGTGATGACTTGGGACTTCCCAAGGCCCAAAGGGTCACCCTTCTGCAGGGTTTGATCTTCCAAAGAAGCCTGAATTAGTGGACGAGAGCTCTTATGCTCAGGTGCTGCATTTACAAGGCCTCGGTTCAGTTCTATAACCACATTTTGTCTAGCGATGGTAACTTACAGCTATGAAATTCTGATTGGATATCAAAGGAAAATGTGATTAATATCCAGTCAGGATTTATGAGCCCTGAGGTTGAGAACATAAGAATAGAGTGGAAACTTGGGGACTACTAACTCCTTTTTACTTCTATGTGCCCAGAAAAAGCAGGGAAGACAAGGGAATAGGGGAGCTAAGTCATAAACTGTCACTGCAAACGTTCTGTTACTGTTAGGAGATATTCTGGACTAGAGAGTAGCCCAAGTTTTCCCACAGGTTCCTGGTTAGGGACACAAGGTGGGGGCCAGGTAAGGTGAGTGAGGCCCTTGCCTTGGGTGCAAAATTTAAGGGAGAACCCAAATCCTAGTAACCAAGCCAAAAGAAAAAATTAATACAATATTGAAAAAATTTTAAGCTAATGCAAAAATAAATAAAACACAAAAATTTTAAACAAAGACAGGGTCCATAACAGTGCTGTGCTGAATGAGCCCTGTTAGTCTGAGGAAAGAGGAGACATTGGTAATGCCAGTCCTGCCTTTGTTTAGAATGTCGCTATTTTATTCACTGGGGATGTTTACATTAGTTTTATTTTTTAAAGTTGTGTTAAAATATTATTTACCTTCATTACTGAGTTTTTTGGTGCCCCCCTTAGTTTTGTGCCCAGGCGGGTGCCTCACTCACCGCTCCCTTTCCTGTCCCCACCCTGAGGACTGGTGAGGAGCAAGGATTCCCAGCCACCTCCCAGGCTACAGTTTCCCGAGGGTCTATTAGCTGGCACATTATCTCCGTCTTACTAAAAAATATGCATCGCCTTCCCCTTCACATTCTGGGAGCAGAGAGAAGTGTCCAAGATCTCCCATCTTGTTCCTCCTTCAACTAACTCCCAACTAACTTCTGAGCTCAGAGGCGTGTTCCCTCAGAGCCACGAGAGGTGGCAGACACAAATGGGTACCAAATCCATCTGAGCCCTAGGTAGCTTGGGCCTGGCAAGAGTGGGCAAGTAGAACACCACTCTGCGAAGAAAATAAAACATCACACAATTAACTGCTTTAATTATTCTGAATATCAGCATTTGGGCAAACAGGTGCCTGACAGACCCCTGAGCCACCTTTATTTCTTCCCAGCCCGAGGATGGCGGGGCAGACTTCTCCAAAGGCCAAATGGAGCCACAGCTAGGTTGGTGTTGGTCTTCAGTCTGGCAGCGACTGCAGCTTTTGGTCATTGAGTTTCGGGCTCAGAAGGGACCTAAGTTGGCATGGCAGTCTCTCTAAGTGTGCAGAGGCGTCCTAACTGCTGTGGCAGGAAGAGCCTCTAGCTACAGGGACCGGAAGGCAGCATATGCTTAGAAGGGTCAGGCAGCCCACCCTGGGGAGTCTGAGAGAGCACCTCCCGCAGGCCGCACCCCCCTGCTACCTGCTCTCCTGCAGGAGCGTTCAGCTTTGGGGATCCAGGCAGGCATGTGGCTTGACACATAGTTGTTTTGTTGTGTTGATTATGTTCATTTGCTTGTACCAAATACAATCATCTGCTCTGGAAACTTTGGGAAGTATTTCTGGTGATGGCCATGAAGATGCAAAATGTATACTGCCTGGTAGCTCCCTCCCTCCCCTCCCTTTTCTTTCCTTGTTTCCCTTTCCTTTTTCTTTTCCTGCTGTTTCTCCCCCTCCTTCTTTCCTTGTCTCCTTCTCTCCCTCTGTGCTTCCCCCCTTTATTACTTACCTCCCTCCCTCGCTCCCTCCCTCCCTGACTTCCTTCCTAGAGCATGGAAGTCCACATTCTAGGAATCCAGTCTAAGACTGCACAACCCACTGCAGTCCCTGTGTATTCTAGCAAATTTAAGCTCTTTCCTGCCTCAAGGATATAAGGAGCAGACACGAAATATTTATTAATTGCTGACCTCCTACTCCATAACCACACTGTCCTTCACAATATTTAATGTGTAACTTGGAAAAAAGCATTCTGTGGAATATCTCTAATGCGAATGGCATCACTCTGAAGACTACAGGGTCCCAAGCTTGCCTCAGCAAAATGTAACCACCTCTCTTGCTGTTGTTTACCAGGCATGCGCCCCTTTCACGCAGTGTGACTTGCTGCTCCGTAACTGCACACTGATCTAAGGCTTTGTGACAGCACCTCTGTTTTAAGCAACAGTAAATTCACCTTACAAAGTCAGAAAGGGAGCTTTTTGATGGCTGCTGTCAATTTTATTGCTTTATCCTGGTTACTAGGATGGAATCTGTAGACACGGTGTGTTTATTGGTTTTATGTATCGCATGTTGTTGCTGCTCTGACAAGCTAGTCCTATAAAAATGTGTTATTATTGCATGTTGTAGCTCAGTGAGCTGACCCTGCATTTCAAAGTGTACTGAAGCAAATAGCATTGAAGTCCATAAAAACTGACTGGCCTCCATCACAGAGGACTCTGCGTGAGCTGCCACTCCCACAGCTGGGAGCAAATTCCACCTTCCCCCGTGCCGGCAGCCATCGCCGCTACCTGAACCCAGCACAGGCCCGCACACAGGCACTACCTGTAAAATTTCAAGACAGGAAACCATTGTATCATTCCTATTCATTCAATTCTCCAGTAAGTGCTGTCTCTAATTTTCAAGTTTCCAAAAGTATATAATAAATGCCTTTTTAATGTTTTATATGTTAGTATATAATAAAGGAGGGGTGGCCGACACTGTTTTCTATCTGCCCTTAATGCTGAAGAGAAAATTAACTTGAATTATAGCAAGAGAAGATGTGGCTAGTTCTAAGCAAGTCATGACTGGGGGTGCTAGGTGTTGAGCTAGAATTAAGTGCTTGACTCATGCAGAGTTGAAAGCTCTAACACGGGGGGATTACCCTGAAGGCTGCAGAGGAATGGGCCAGTCGGGCTCCCAGACAATGACATCACCAAAATCACCTGGGGGATTCTTTATAAAACAGGTTCTCATGCCCGCCCCCCTTCCCTGCCCGCACCCCACCCCAGATATTGGGATTGCGTTAGACTAGGATTGACCCTGGACTCTCAGTCAAATAATTTTAAGTAAAATCTTTTCCTAATCTTAATTTTATCACAAATAGCAGAAGCCTGTGTTAGGTTTCATGAGTTAGATGAGCTGAAGAAGTGTTCCATATTCTGTAAGAGGAAATGTCCTAACAAGTGGGAAGGAGGACGAAGGAGCCTTTGAGCCCAAAGGGGAGACGTCCTGGGCAGGCCGCCTGTGTCTTGTGCCGTCACAGCCAGGCCACACGGCTCTCCGCTCCTGAACTACCCTGCTCTGCCACCTACCTGCCACCCACTCCTGCTCCATCCCAGCTACTCACAAGTTGGCATAATATATTAAATACTCTGGGTCTTGAAAAAGGAAAGAACTCATCTACAGATTATTTTAAAAAGCCATCAGTGCCCATTTAAGATTAAATATCAAACTTCATTGAATATCCTCCTCTGATCCCACCTAGCTTTAGATAATACTCTCTAAGTATTTGACTGTTCAAGACATACTAGATCCAACAAAGGCAAGCAGAGGACGGGGGGCACCAGAGCATCCATCCACCTTCTCCTTCTTCCTTCATGTTGCTTCATGGGCTTTCTGAACAGCCAGGGCCTCCCTTTTTCTCTGTCTCCTGTTCTTGGGAACAACCTAAATATCCAACAACAGATCCATGATTAAATAAATTCGGGGGTAATCTGAACAAATGGAGAAATGTTCTATGTTCTTGGGTGGGACAACATTATAAACATGTTGATTCTCCTAGAAAACAGAGAAGTACAAGTTAAAATAAGATAATGTTTTCTGTCTATTATTCTGGCAAAAAGAAAAGCTGGATAATAGGGTAGGTGGGATGGGGACTGTCGGAACTACATGCACTGCTTATGGTGTAGATTGGACCAGCCACTAGGACCATGAGGCAATAATTAGTCAATTTAAATACATGAGCCACACATTCTGTTCTGGCATATATCCCCAGAAAGTTTCACATTTCCCAAATGATATTCAGTGCAGCATTACTTATGGAGAAGGAAATTTCATTTTCAGTGCTCGTCACTAGGAAAATGGATGGGTGAAATGTGGAAGACACTCACCATCGGGTATTACACAGTAGTTAGAAGCAATGGAGTAGATACAGCTATAGCAACGTAATTGAATCTTAAACATATAGTGCTGGGGAAGGTCATTGAGAGGATGTGACCACCAGCTGACCCGCAGGCTGGACTCTGGCAATTGGAGGCTCCTCATCCCCGTCCCCTGTCCTTGGAATGTGCACTCTGCCCATTGCTCCCACAATAGGAGCCATTTTCAAGGACGCAGCCTCCGGAGAGTAAGCTGTTGTTGAGACCCTCTGGACAGTATATGTGCCTGCACCCCAATAAGGTCTCTATGTAAACTTTGAAGATTCTGGCAGGTGAGTAGGAAAATCTATCCTCTTGTGGTTGCCCAAGACAAGCCTTGTCTGTAAGTTCTCTAGCTCATTAAAACTGCTACCTACCAATCTGGAGGGGTCTGCCTCCTTCTTCGCTGTCTCCTTGCCCTCTGTGTATGGGGGTCAGTTTGCAAACCAACATATAGGGCTGGATGGAAAAACAAATCCAAAATGACATATTAACATGAATATTTTTACAAATTAAAAATATATGCATATAAAACAATGATACCTATACTTTGTAAGAACACAAATAGACCATTAACACGGTTGCCAATGGAGCGGCGGAGGGGGGGGGGGGATAATGAAGGGATAAATTAAATGAACCTTGGTGTAAACCAAGGTTGATGTGCCAAAAATTGAGTAGGATGACCTCTGTTATTTGTACCGGAGGCTCTCTACTGTGTGCATACACATAAAGGAAAAAAAATATGGCATGGCCATAAAAGGAAATGTCATACAGGCATTATAAGTAATATTTCAGACCTGTATTTACAGGCATTGGAATATATTTGTGTTTTAATACTGAGAAGAATGACAGAGGGTGGGGTTGCAGTGATTCCATTTCTCTTCTTGCTTTTCTGTATTTCTAATCTGCCTTCAATAACCACACACTATGTAATAAAGAGGAAATGAGAGTTTTTCTTTTAAAGACTATTTTTGTTTTTGCAAAGGCACAACAAGAATAAAGAGCTCATCAATTGTGAGAATTGACAGGTACTAAAAAGGAGAAGACTTTTTCCTAAAGCTTTGTGTTTTCAAATGCAAATGGGTACTGGCTTTATAGGTTGCTCTTCCCCTTTCCCGGAGGAGATAGGGCACCCCACTTATTCTGAGTATCCCAACCTGAACAGTCCAGGGAGCTGGGACTCACATCACAGGATGGCTCTTCAGTGACAGACATGGACAGGTGTCCACAGGAACTTCCTTTAGTTTCAAAAAGAGTAAAAAGGGGGCACGTGGACATCCGTCTCCAGCTCAGGAAAGTCACTTCAGCACAGCACTGTTTTACACAAGCATGTGTATTCCAAAGAGACAGAGCTTCCAGGCAAAAGATTTAGACAAGTCAGGCCTGCAGGCTGTGCTGATGCCGGCCTGACATATGAAGAGTTGGTAGCTGCAACATGCTTACTTCAGGCCTCACAAACATCTTCATTCTTCACTTCCCGGCTGCTGACAGCCAACTCCAGGAAGTGCTTAATGAAACCTGTTCAAGGCTTTCAGCTTTACAATATTAATCAACTTTTTGTAAAGCTGTGTAGAGCAATAAAGAACAACCATTCACAAGAGGCCTTTCTTTTCCCACATCTGAGCAGACTTGGCTGGCATGTTACAGAGTGTACGGGGAACTTCAGTCTTGGGAGCAAATTCCCGTTCTGAAGTGCTTGCCTGCATCCAAGTATTGGAAAGCACAGCCCGTCGTCAGCCTGTGACATTAGGAGATGACGAGCTTGTCCTTTGGAAGGCACAGTGTTAGAACTCAGTGAGATGTTGCCGCATGTTTTTCTATGAGGGCTGGCGCTGATGACTCTAATCCAGGGTCTGAGGTGTCCAAACTGCCACAGATCTTGAACCTGGGCCAGGCTCACTGCCTTTCACTATGCAAACAGTAACGAAACAGATTCAGCCAAGCTGTGATCATGATATGTGAGATGTGTACTATACTAACTGGGGTCGGAGGTAGAATAAAAGAGGAACAACACACGATGACTGCTTTGAGCAACAAATTAAAAACATACAGTAGGAGGAAAGTTGTATTTAGAACTTCCTCCCACAGAGTTCCTTAATACCTGGCCTATATTGAAGAAAGCAAATTTCCATAGTTAATACAGTGACACTTTGAAGTTACATTTGTGTTGTGAACTGAAAATGCTAGATGGGAAATTGCCTACGGATTAATTTAGAACTAATCAAGGAGCCTATTACACAGAACGAATAGCTTCCTTGCCTCATGGTTTTCCACCAATCATCAAATTCGTAATTTTCACCATGTGAATTACTTTTCAGCCTAAAAAGAAAGAGATGAGGTGGCTTCCATCACTCCCAGAGGGGACTGGATCTGAATTGAATTACGTGACATCTGGTAATACTTAGATGTCACATAATGCTTAAAGGTCAAGAGCTTTAGATCCAGAAAAATCTGGATTCTAATCCAAGGTCTTTACAAGGCATATGTTAATCAAATTATATAGCCTGCCTGGGCCTGTTTCCTCATCAACCACCACCATCCAGTTTGAGGGTTGTGTGCAGGCTCGAGATGGTCAATAAAAAGCATCTTGCCCAGTACTAAACATATATATAAATACATATAATATGTAACACATAATATATATAATTCTATGTCTATCTATCTATTGTAGGAAGACAGTAAGTGTTGGGTTGCTTCCTGCCTTCCTGATGGTTTCAATGGCTTTTAATTATGAAGAGGCATAAGGGGAGATAAAGATGAGAGGACACAATGGTCATTGATGGGACAAGGTTTTGGGAGGCTTGAGGGAAGCGGTGTCACTGAGACAGGACACCTTTCCTGAGACTGGAGGGAGTTGGTGAGTTTGGTGTGGAAGCTGAGAAGTTTTGCAGGCAAGGAAGAAGGCTGGGGGAAAACAGGAAGGAGTTAAAGGAGACTTAATCTCGAAGAATACAACATGTTTGTGTAAATTAAAAAAAATTAGCAAACTATTCCACTCAACAAAGAGCAATCTGCAAAAACCCATATTTTTTCCATAACACAGAGTTATATTCAGTAACACTTTAGGGAGAGTACGTACAAAAAGCCTTATTAGCCATTATCTTTTCATGCTAAATTTTTATTTCAATGTTATGCAACTGCATAAGTATAAATATTTGTTCAATGTACAACAATTATGACATCCATAGGGAATTTCTTAGAGAAAATAAGACTGCAAACACTTTATTGCACAGATCCTAACAAACTTGAAGCTGGTAAATCTACCGCTGGGAGTACTACCGAGGAGCACATCTTACAATCACAGGAGACCGACCAAAGAGAACACAGGAGAATTCCTACCAGCTGATTGGAGAGGGTTACAACAACAAACAGCTATTACATGAATGCAACCTTAGGTACTCTTTACTCATCCCAAATGCAAAAACATATTTGGCAAAAACGATAATACACACTATACAAAATATACATAAATACATTGTTTGTAAACAAGCACCTAGTTGTGCTTTAAAGGAAACTGAACAGTTAAAAAGCAAAGGCTGTAAACCA